TTTGGCTCCGCCCCCTGAGGAGGCGGGAGAGCCTGGGCGAGAGCCCGCACCCTGTTTCTGCTGCTGCTGTTTCTGCTGCTGCTGATGCTGCTGCTTTGCTTGTTGATGATGATCTTGCGCGTCGCCCTGCTGCCGCTCGTTGTGAACACTGTCAGCGTCCAGTGCTGAAAACAAAAGTTAAAAGATACCCTACAACGTACGCCCCAGAAACTGAACGTTCCAGCTCGAAATAGTGCTTCTGAAATATTTGTTGGTACGCTGGGGACTGCCCCGCCAGCAGGGGGATTGGCGTGACAGCTTAAACCCTACTAAACATGCAAAACCTCGGGGCGTACGTTCCGTGGGTGATTCCACGCCTTGCACTTGTATCAAGCGGAGAACTTTTCCTGGGTCAGAATAGGCGCCTCTCTTGCCTTCCTTGAAGGTGAGACGTCGTTTTCCGTAGCCCCTGAAACACCCAAGGAATACAGGGCTAGCGTTTTACAGCTAGAGGGTTCGATGCGATGTGTTGGGAAGAAGAGAGGGAACCATTCGTAACAGGCTTAGGGTTTAGGGTTTAGGCTTGAAGGTTCATACAAGTCTTAGGATTCAAAGTCCGGGGTCAGGGAGTGTTAGGGACCAGTGGTTGTGCCCACTCAAATACTTGGTCTTCTTTGCCCTTCTGCTGCCTGGCGGCAAGGGCAGACTGAAGCTCCGCCATTAAACCCCCTCCTGATATTCTGAATACTTGGCTTTCAGGCGCGTGTGTGCAGAGCTCAACCTACTGAAGAAGGATGGGCTGGGTAGAGTTGAACGGAGTTGTTCATCGACACGGGCCTCAGACTAGGGGAAAAACCACCGAGTCATGAGGCCAGAAAACAATTTCTGAGTTAATAATTTAATTGTGAATATAAATCAAATGGCCATGTGGGACTCGGGGGTGTTGTATGCAAGCCCAGGAGCATTCAGCTCAACAGCAACCGCCACAACAGCAGCGGCACCCGATCCACTTCAGCCGCGGCAGCTCCTCTCGTCGTATTAATTAAATTCGTTATTCAAAGCTTAAAACAAACTATAAAAAACCATATATATAGTATTCTGTGGCACAATCCGCTCTTTAGAGCAGGACTCTGTCGGCTGACCGCCGTCAGACCTCTCTGGAGTGGCGGTCGTAGACTGTTTCTCCAGGGTATTCAGAATTCAGAAGTATAGGAAAAGAACAGCATCAGCAGGTAATGCTGCAGCTAGCCGCNCTCCAGGGTATTCAGAATTCAGAAGTATAGGAAAAGAACAGCATCAGCAGGTAATGCTGCAGCTAGCCGCCGACTGAGGTGCTTTGATGCCTCTAGGCGCACGGCCATGAGCTCCAAATGGATAGACTCCTCCTGCGGCAAGACAGAACGCTTGTACGCCCAGCAAAGGCGAGTTGTCATTGGCCGAAACACCTGGAGTGAGTGTTCACATAAATGTTTGGCCTCGCAGACTGTACACGACGGGGATCTGAACTAGATGGGCTAATGCCCTTCCACGCTCTTCTCTTGACGTCGAATGCAGCAGAGAGCGCTTCAATGATGAAACGACTCTCCTCCAACAAATGTCCCCTGACGTGTTCGTTCCCCCGCGATGTACTGCTGTCAACCCATGCGTTGAGCACAGCAGCTCCGCTACGCCGTAACGTTGCACAAATGACGTTTCATCGGCCATGCTTTCAGCTCTAGGATTCCTAAAGTTAATTGTCAGGTGGCTTCTTGATAACAGTCGTGTCATAACTCTGAGCCTTCACTGTACAAGCAACTGGGAATAATTCTCGTATACTCAGCTTCCTGCTCCTGTTCTATCTTATAGGCCTCTAAAACAAGAAGTTCCGGAGCTCTAAAAGGGGCGTGGCGTTAAACCTTAAGCGTCTAGAAGTCTTTTGCTATGTTGTGCATTGTGCATACCTAATAGAACATCTCATAGCAATATGTTACCTAATAGAACATCTCATAGCAATATGTTAACTGCGGAGAAGTGGTTAACTACCGGGAAAATTGCTAGCCATACAGACCTCATTGCCATTAAAGTATTGTCCTGTCTGGGAGCGCCCCAATTTGAAACAAAAGGGGAACGCAATGTTTAGATCGCATTTCGAACGAATGCGTTTGATACTGATTGGTGCTCGACAAACAGCATGTGCACTGTTGAGGTATTAATCTCTTCAGGGCCCCACGGTTTTGGAATCGTTTTGGTGCATTTACGGAAACAGTGGGACGATGTGCTTAGGCCTCTTCATTATTGAATTGTTGCTATCCAAAGGCATTTCTTCCAAATCTTCATCCATAAACAAGCAACAGGGTGCCCCCCAAGCACCCTAGGAGACAGTTGTAGCAAAGAAAATATTCGGAGGGGTGAAACAACGAAACTTACTTACTGCTCCTGCAGTGCGTGCTCCAGGTCGGCCAAACAAGAATAGAAGCAGTCCATCACCCACGACGCTGGGGAGAATATTCAAGCTATCCTACTGAGCGTGGCCCGATGACAAAATACTCTTGGAGTTCACCGGAAATTCACCCCCTACCTGTGCCCAATCGTTTTCGTAGTTAACCCTTTCTATATTCGCAGCTTGCGCACCATTAAACAATATAATCTGAACAATATGGTTAAACATCAAACAGTCATTGTGGTGCAAACCGCTGATTAAATTAGCCTGCAATATCGCCATCGTTCTACTGGAGCCGGAGAATTCGGTGCAACTACTCTCTCATGCGTCGGAGTCAGATGTTTAGCGATTGCTTTGCAAAGCCAAAAGACCACTTCCAGAGCAACTGCCCCTGCCGCCGTGGGATGTTCAAGTCTTCAAGGAGCTGCCACGCCCCTGGAATCAACTCAACACTCAAACGCTGAACTGTAAAAACGTACTTCCTGCATGTCAGTGGCACGAAGAGCAGGGCAGTGGGACACACGTCTGCGCATCGCTGCGTCGGTACGGAGTAAAAGTTAAGCAATGCTCGAGTACGCCGCCTGCTACCAAGGCAAAGACCTACAGCCTGCACCAATAGTTCTCCTGCCTATCGTTCCAGCGTGGGTCGCCATTGACTTGGTGCATGCGATGCATCTTCTAAAGAACACCAGCTAATTCACAACATTTGCACTGCCTCACGAGAGGCATTCGTTTGGTGTATGCGGCGCACTCGATAGTTTTTGACTTGAGGAAGTATCCAGTACAAGTACGTTTGCCGCCGTGGGCTGTTCAACCGTTCACGAAGCTGGATGCCAGCTAGTTCAACCCAACGCGCATGCGCAGAACTACCAAATGCGCTTCCTGCATGTCAGCGGCGCTTAACGCACTGCAATGAGACACACCTCAACGCGCCGCTGGGCCGGCAGGGACTGGCGCAAGGTTAGGCGACGCTCGAATACACCACCTACTATCAGGGTACAGGGCAACCACCTGCACCAATAGTTCTTCTGCGTACCATTCCAGCGTGAACCACCACGCACTCGGTGCGTGCGACGCACGTTCTGAGAACCGCACTCTCATTCAATAGATCTGCACTGGTCCGCGAGAGGCATTCGTTTGTAGATGAGGCCGCACTCAAAAATTCTGCAGTTGCTGCGCAAACCAACAGAGCGTATCCAAAGCAAGCGCCTCTGCGCTGTGGGCTGGGCAAGGGTTCGAGGAACTAAGNCAAACCAACAGAGCGTATCCAAAGCAAGCGCCTCTGCGCTGTGGGCTGGGCAAGGGTTCGAGGAACTAAGGGCCACTAAGGGCCAGTTGAATGAACCAAACATGCATGCGCTGAAGTATCGAGCGTACTTCCTTCATATCAGGCGTGCAGCGAGGGGCAATGTGGCACCCATCTGCGGGTCGCTGGGCCGGCACGGAGGCGTGTCAGTGTCAGGCAACGCTCGCAATGAGCGCAGGGTACAGGCCTATCTCCTGTACCAATAGCTCTGCTGCGTATCGTTCCAGCGTGAGTTTCCACGCACGTAGTGTGCGCGACGTGCCTTGTACGAATCTCGAGCGAATTCACGACATTTGCACTGGCTCACGAGCGGCATTCATTTCGAGTATAGGCGCACTCAACCGTTCAGCAGTTTTTCTGAAAAAAACGACACCCCATCGAAAGCCACTACCTTTGCTGCGATAGGCTGCACCACCAGTGCTGAGGAAACTGCAGGCCCGTTCAGCCAGCCCAACAGCAACGCGTTCAACTAACAAACACACTTCCTGCATGTCAGTGGCCCGCAGAGCAGGGCAATGGGATACGCGTCTGTGTATCACAGCGTTGGTACGAACGAGCAAAAGGTAGGCAATGCTTGAGTACACCTCCTGCTACCAGGACAAAGACCTACCGCCTGCACCAATCGTTTTCTTGCGTATCGTTCCAGTGCGGATCGACACGCACGTGGTGTGTGCAACACGCCTTTCACGAATCGCGAGCTAATTCACAATATTTGCACTGCCTCGCGAGAGGCATTCATTTGGATATGAGGCCGCACTCAACAGTTCTTCAGTTGCCCCGCAAAAAACGACAGCCTAACCAGAGCAACTGCATTTCGCGCCATAGGCTGTTTATGCGTCGAAGAAAAGGGGACCCGGTTGTGGCAACTAACCACGCAGGCTGCAGGAAGTATCAAACGTACTTCCTGCATGATAGTGGCACGCAAANGTTGTGGCAACTAACCACGCAGGCTGCAGGAAGTATCAAACGTACTTCCTGCATGATAGTGGCACGCAAATCCGGGCAATGGGACACACGTCTTTGCACCGCAACGTCGGCACGGACGAGGGTAAATGTCAGGGAACGCCTGAATCACAGCTGCTATCAGGACAGAGACCTACCGTCTGCACCAATAGCTTCTTTGCGTATCGCTCCACCGTGGATCGCCACGCGCGTGGTATGTGCGACCCGCCTTCTATGAATCGCGGGCTAATTCACAACATTTGCACTGCCTCGCAAGAGAGAGTTGTTTGAAGATGAAGCCGCACTCAACAGTTCTCCAGTCGACATGCAAATAACCACACCCTATCGAGAGCAACTGCCTTCGTTGCTATGGCCTATATAAGTGCGGAGGAGTTGGGGACCCGACTGGAGCAACCCAACGCACAGGAACTGAAGTATCAGACGTTACTCCCTGCACGCCAGCGGCACTAAAAGAAGGGCAGTGTGGCATTCCTCTCGCGTCGGCGAGAGGGCACGGACGAGCGTCAATGTCAGGGAACGCCTGAATCACAGCTGCTATCAGGACAAACACCTACCGTCTGCACCAATAGCTCTTTTGCGTATCGCTCCACCGTGGGTCGCCACGCACGTGGTGCGTGCGACGCGCCTTTCACGAACAGCGAGCTCATTCACATCTGCACTGCCTCGCAAGAGAGAGTTGTTTGAAGATGAAGCCGCACTCAACAGTTATCCAGTTGACATGCAAATAACCACACCCTATCGATAGCAACTGCCTTCGCTGCTATGGCCTATATACGTGCGGAGAAGCTGGGGACGCGAACGCACAGGAATTGAAGCATCAGACGTTACTGCCTGCACGCCAGCGGCACTTAAAGAAGGGCAGTGTGACATTCCTCTCGCGTCGGCGAGAGGGCAAGGACGAGCGTCAATGTCAGGGAACGCCTGAACCACAGCTGCTATCAGGACAAAGACCTATCGCCTGCACCAACAGCTCTTGCGTATCTCTCCACCGTGGGTCGCCACGCACGTGGTGCGTGCGACACGCCTTTCACGA